TATAAGGAAGGGTCATTCGGCAAAAATGTGTTACGAAAAAGTGTAACTTCATTGTTATGTTACCTAGGAAACCTCATCTGTTTACTCGGCATTGTTGTTACCTATAAAACTTTACATTACATTACATTCAGCTACCACAGACCCATCTTAAGCAGAACTAATTCAAGTTGAATAAGCAAAGCCCCCCCCCTTTTTTTTTTTGTTCTGTCTGACGACAGGTCCATATGAACCGGATCCTTCCCTCCTTTTCTCGGACTGGGACCTGTTCATATACTTTCTTGGCAGATGATCCAGAAGTGGTTTGCCCTTGCCTTCTTCTGTGTGTGAATGGAGTAACTTTTGGGATGCCACGGAGGAAAACTCCGTGTTGCCTAGACCACGGCCTTGCCCAACACAAGTTATAAATTCGGGCACCGCCGGGAATCGAACCCGAGACCCCAGGATTACAAGGCCAGCGTTCTAACCGCTAGACCACCGTGGCGGTTTCAAATGAGACGACTGATCATGAAACCATAAAAATATTTAGCGGCTTAATTTTGTCCATTTAAAATAAACTGATGTTGATGGAGGAACTTGCACGAGTTTATCAGTCGAATATCTGGTTGGCAAAACACCGGACTGCAATGTTTACAATGAATACGGTACATAAGATCTTGTTATCTCAGGACACTTAATATATTCATACTCTGCTAATTATCAAATAAAGAAACCAGGCGGTGGAGGGGCGGACGGACAGACTTCTTCCTCATACCTTGGCACGTGGTTATTGTTGTTATTGTTGTTCCGACTTCGTACGGACCCGGCTGGGCTGTGACTGGCCGAGCTAGAGCCCGAATTCTTATTGACGTCAGCAATCATGTTGTCATTTCCAATGTTTGGGGGTTGATGGTCAGTCTCGCCTGGGTTAGCCATGGAGCTCAACTTGGGAGTTCCAGGAACCTCGGGTCCTGCGGGGGGCACCTGCGGCGGTGAGTATGGGGGAGGCGGGCTGTCTCCGCTGCTGGGAAGTGGGCACCTCTCTTCCTGAGTGGAGCAGCTAATGAACAGATCATCGTGTATGAACATCCTCCGTAATGAGTACAGACTTACGAGCTTGATTTTGCCGTCTTTACATCCTTTATACATGTTCATTTCTTTTTCTTAGTTTAATCAGTTTAGTTATTATTTTGCGTTCTGTGCACGATGTGTATGAAATAAGTGCATGTCATGATTCAACTCGAACGTTAAACCTCAGAGTTAGGTCTAGGTGGCAGCCCACGGCTGTTCTCATACGATAATCATTATAGTATGAACACATCAATAGCATTTCATTCACGTCTTCCTCAGAGTTAACTATTATTTAGAGACTCGAAAAGTTCTTTGTTTTTATAAAACCTATTTCATCACCGTGTTCACAAAAGCCTGCCACTGGACACTACCCTGAGGCAACTGATTCCAGTTCACATCGTCACAAACCCATTTCGCTAATATCCATTTTAATATTATCCTTCTATCTAAGCATACATTACCCAAGCTGTCTGTTTTCTTTTATATGATGATAACACAAGCGACATTTCAGATAAAGGCGCAATTACAGAAGAAATCCGAGACAATATTAATTTTTTTTATTTTTATGCAGTGTCCGGTGTTCCTATTCAGTGCTGCCATCAGTAATTAATTACTATTTTCAGTGTCGTAAACATCATGTGGCTATACCTTTTAGTTCTCCTTGGAGAACGGTGGTTTTGCTTGTTGTTTGGGGACATCTTGACGCGCATAGCCTTTGCGTTCGTTTCAACTATCTTGTACGGAATCTCCCTGAGCTGTGACTCGCTCATCCCTTCTGTGTCAATCAGATCAAACTCTAGGTGTTTCTTGAGTTCATCCGGTAAACGCGGCTTGTTCTCTGACGGAGATCGAGACCTTGACCTACGAAAGTAAGATGAAATTCAGGATTCAAATACATTCGAAGACGTGGGCTGCTATAATATCCAAAACGTCATCATCGAATTATGTATTTATTTTTAATGTGTGCTGTTTGACTAGACGTTCATGACTATTAACACAGTGCTTGATCAGAAAGTTCAGTGAATGATCAAATACCTATTAAGTCATTAATTCTTCCAGGAAGATGGATTGGCAGAGACTGTACAATGCCTTGGCCTCCACGTTCACCAGACATAACACCACTGGATTTTTTCCTGTGGGGTTATGTCAAGAGCAACGTGTTCCGAACACCAGTTAATGGACTTGATGACCTGAAGGCCCCTATCAGGAATGCGATCTCGACTATTCCAGCGGACATGCTCCACAGAACATGGCAAGAGCTCGAATATCGTCTGGACATTCTCCGTGCTACCAAGGGAGCCCACATCGACGTCTACCGAGGTCAGTAAGAAACTTCCAGAGTTTCACTGTAATCTGCCGCAAACCGCATGTGGCTAGCTCAATTTGTTTGCGCGCCACAATTTTTCAAATCCCCAAAGGGACTTTGTGGACACACTGTATATTTAGAATGTGAAGTTGAGTGTACTTTAACTGAACTGAACGATGCCACTAGACAGGGGACCTCGACAGGCCAATCAGTGAAGTAAATTTTTATGGCTCTTATAACCAGCGTTTGGTTCCTTGAAAGGAAATGGGATTTCTCACTTTGGCACCACGTCGAGGCAATTATTAGGCATAGCTACTGGTAGGGCCAGGGGGGGAGGTCAGACTAAGACAGGTACCCTGGTCCTCCAGGTTGGGGGTTGGTCACAAGGCTAACAACCTTGCACCGTAAAAAGGAAGATGTTTCGAAACCTCGATCAAAGCCTCGGACGGACAGACCTAACAGAGGACCAAATGGAAGAGGAGGATTGAGGAGGCCATGGACCGAATACGGACCGGAGAGCCATAGAAGAAGAAGAACTTGTCCCCAGTACTTAACGAAGCACCATGTCTTGCAGATGTGTGGGAGAGTAGAGGTACACATTATTAACCTCAAAATTAGATGGAGGTGAATGGTTTGCACAAGTACCAGCCACTTTAGCCCCAAGGAACACTTTGGACAGGAGACGGGCGGGCTCCAGTGCCCGTCCGAAGGTGGCAAAGAGAAATATTATTCCCTACCATGAATTGAACCTTACAAAATACAATAACTGAATGGAGAGAAGAATTGGAACTGAGAGGATTAAAAATAAACAGTACTAAAAGTAAAGTTATGAAAATAGGGAGACACGTATTAGAACAGGATGAAAGAGACATGGAAATGAGAAATTGGAACAAGTAGGAAAGTAGGGGTCATGGAAAAGCTGATAATGAGATCCTAAATAGGCTAAAGAAGGCAAATAATGCTTATTACCAATTAAACAATAAAATATTTGGAAAGAAAGAATTGAACATGAAAACCAAGAAACAATTCTACCAATTAGTTATAGAACCAAGACTATTATGTGGCAGCGAGAGCTGGCCAAACTTAAATAAATTTTCATCTAAAGTTACGGCGTTGGAAATGAAATGTCTCAGGAAATCAACGGGGAAAACGCGCAGGGATACAACAAGGAACACCAAAATTAGAGACGAGGTGGGAATTAAACCAAAGGGGAAAAGTTTAACGCAGATGAAATTCTTGGCAAGGGATAGGAAGGAATGGAGGAGGTGGACCGAGCGATCGACCCCGACGCTATAAAGGAAAAATGGGAGATGAGAAAGAAGAAGTAAACCCGTGATCCACCCGATTACGAGGGAAAAGTGATTTTTGGGGATGAGAAAAGTAAACGAAATAAAATATTAAAATGTGAATTCGTTAAAAATACCGCGTTTGGTAAACCAGAAGCATACCTGTGCTTCTTCTGTTTGCGTTTATGGTGGTACGAGAGTTCTGATTCAGTTTCCATGCCACTGTTCATATAACCAGAGCGTCTATTGGTTACCACAGTCGCCTGGTGAATACCTGTCCCACCCTCGGCTTGCCTTCGCTGCACTTCCTTCCACTGAGCTTCGGAATCTACGAGCTCATAATGGCTGCCATGCCTGCAAGGAACAACTGCATACATAATAACGTCATGACGAGACAACAGCATCCTGTTCGGCCACTCGTAGATGCACATCATGGAATAAATGTGTCCTGCCGATAAAAATGTGGACAAAGACCTGATCAAACCTCGATCGAAGCCTCGGACGGACGGACCTAACAGAGGACCGAATGGAAGAGGAGAATTGAGGAGGCCGTGGACCGAATACGGACCGGAGAGCCATAGAAGAAGAAGAAGAAGAAGAAGAAGTTGTTGTTACAAAGGAAGGCATGTGTTGAGCGTTTTATTACATTACGCTCCTGTTACGATGTCAACGTCCCTTTTGTCAGAAATGAGTTTAAATTTATATTTGATGCTATTTGTCACAGCAAGACTACAGTTTTGAAACTTATGTTTCGCACATAACAGAGAAATATGTTTTAAACAAAGCATATGAGGTTTTAGTTAATAGTTTAGCAACCAATCAGGAGCTAGGGAAATTAGGAGGCGTTCCCTTGTTCTTGTCATTGAAAGGTCTGGGGATTTATTTACAGAACCTCACAACACATGAGGTTACGACTGAAATCAACAAGAAAAGAAAATTGCATTAATGGAAAACAAACAGCACCTCAAGATAGAATTATGACAAAAACAGAGCGATTTGTTACGTGGCAAAAAACCAGCTACAGTACAATCTTGCTGGATGACGACAAACATGCCTCTTCTGTGGTTTGGCAACGTTACCTGTGTCTGCCGGATCCCTTATGTCGATGTCGATGGTGTTGATCTTGCTCAGAACCTGAGTCACGTTTGTTCCCGTGGGAACGGTGCCGGTGCCGCCGGTGGCCATGCGACTTCCCCGAACACTTCGATAACTCACTTTCATTGTCAGATCCTCTACGGCTGCGATGATGGCGATGTCTGGAACAATAATGTTATTGGTGTGGATGTCGATATTTGCAGATAGTGAATAATGAATCTGAAAGGATGTGGACGGAAGCGGTCATGGCCTAATTTAAGGTACGACCCTGGCATTTTCATGGAGGGACTGACGGAAACCACAAAATACCGCAGCCAGGAGATAGCTGGTCTCCCCCCTCTCGCCAAATATGAAGCAGGAGTATTAACCGTTCGACGACATTTGGTAGTACCAACTTATATTGGTCGTCGTCGCTGGATACTCTCAAATTACTTCTGGACTGGAAATACTAACCTTTTACATGAGCGGGAATCATTTGAACTTTGGCTCTCAACACTCGAAGACCTCCTCGTGAGACGACTCAGTAGCTGACCGTTGTTCCCGGCAGACCTAACGGAACGAGGGCTGGAACTGGTGTAGAGGCCGCGCACATGGGGCTGGGTCCAAGGAGCACTGCGGGTGCTGCGCGGCGAGTCAGCACGAGGATGCGATGGTAAGACTGCTGGAATGCTGCATGTCGATCGATACAGGCTGCCGACTCTGCGCCAGTGTATCGACTGGTATTAAACTAAGTATATGTTGTGCTGATTAGCAGGGGTTTTAGTGTCAGTGGTTGAAAAATGGACAGAATTGTGAGATTGGGGTTTTCGTGGTGTAAAGATGGCAATTTTTTTTTCTGGGTTAGGACACTGTGTGGACTCGAGCGCAAATAAACCTGTAAGTCCAGATAGAGGTCCAGAACAATGCCATAGCAGGAGGTTGTTAACATAAGAAAAACTCCACGGTACAAGTTATTCATTGTGCAAGTCAAAGAAATTCACAACTTTTATAGAATGTGAACATTCATCACTATATGACATCCGAGGTTCTCACAATGATAAAGATATTAATATTGATCCTCTGGGTTGTAACGCCATGCAGACTTGTAGGTCGATACCAATGTTTCAGACGAATACACTACCTCAGGGCTCAGTCCTGATGATGTTCCTCTAAACATGGGTATCTAACCTCAATTCCACATTACAACACTGAAGTCCAACATCACCTTCATTTCTGTGTATGTAAAAACCTTAAATTTGATCGTGCCCTGAGCCCAGTGTATTCCAGCTCGGAATATAAACTGTTGTTAAAAATCCAGCGAATTTTACGACAACTACGTCATAGATGCGGCAAAACCTCAAATAAGGTCAGAAACGTAATGAAATGATTTATTAGTTCTACGTGATTTAGCCCGAAATACTTTGCTTTTTGTGCCCTGTCTGCACTGAAGACTTGCCAGTACTTACAGAATTCATGGCAGAACCAGTTTCATGGTTCAAAACGTATAGCAAAATCACCAAATATTCTTGCGACACATATCACAATCATAAAAATTAGAACAATTTCACTTTTTGAACATTCCATGCATAAAGTGCATGAGGAGAACGCATTATGAGCTAGTCGCGTCCGTCGAACTAATTTCACTCGAGAACCACTGGATGAAATTCAGTATTGTCAATCAGCATAACCTCAAAAGTTATATTTTCGAATAACCTATGAATCGTAAGAAACAAAATGGCGGCTAACAAAACACGTGCTGTGGGACCAACAGTGAGGTGCTGCACTCTGTTGCCCAAAGTTCGAACTATGACAACGATGGCCGAACAGCCATCTTTGTACATGACTGTGTGAGAATCTTAAGTCTCACAATTGTAGCATATTTAAAATATCTTTTCATTTTCGTTAAAACATAAAAAGAAATTGTACTCACGACTGGGCTGGCTGGGGTATTGAGACTGCTTTGATTTCTTGAGGAGGAATGTTTTCATTATTCACGTTTTCTTCAACTTTGGGAGCTGTAATGCAAAAATAAACAGCAAGAATAATAATTTGATGCAGAAGTAATTAAATTTTCATGTGTTGTCACAATATGTCAACCAGACTTATGCTTGTAATAGTTAACACTATTTTTAAGATCATTGTCACTGTATTGGGTAAGTTAAAATGAGTGTTTTCATTTTATATTTATCAGTGGGCAAGAACTTCTTTCTAGAGATCTGAGCTTACCGTCTTGCGCTCCTTCAACTATTCGTCGTTGATACCTCCGGCTTGGCGTACGCGTAAACTGCGGAGGACTTCGCATCCGCAACTGCGCATCTCTCTGCGCCTGCTTCTCCGTTCGGCCACTAAAAAGGCACGTAAAGAGAAATAACAAGTATTTATTGGGCTCACTTTCATTTGTTCTAGAGCGAGCATTGTATGCACAATTTGCGTTCAGAGAAGTCTGAATTACCGGCTCTACTAGTACGAGTAGAGCATTGGCCTTCCAGGCTAGCAATGCGAAGTGTGATAGTAACTCAACAGAGGTCTCTAGTTGCGCTCTGAACACAGGCGATAAAGTTTGGTCGATAGGTAAAATACCACTAAGAAATTTCACATACATTTACTCAAAATGCATTAATTAATGACGCAACAACCGATCATTTTTTGTAAGTACGCAATTTTTGTCTGAAAGCAATCAGACTGACAGCACCAATGCAAAAATATATGCAGAATAAAACAACTGTATGTTGGCACGCAAACTAAAGTCAATTAAAATTACTTTTAATAATTGTATTATAATTAGTAATGATTTTATTTTTTATAATCATCTTTGTTAGAATTATCAATAAAATTGTTTTTTTTAAAGTACTACTTTTCATTTTCATGTCATTTTTAGGCAATAATTATCTCGTTAATGATGACCAACAGTTAAGTATATGACTGGTGTATCGTTTAGTTGAATATCGTTCGCGCTATTATTATAAAAATAATTTAATTGGTTTAGAACTTGAACTGACAGCCAACTAGCAAGCTTGTCCCTTATCCCTTTTATGAAAGGAACGCCGGAAAAAAAAAATACATTTCTGTGTGTGCGTGCGGATTATCTCATACCAAAATTTAACTCGCTTTGATGCACACGTATACGATTTGTCTCCCAAAAGTGGAGAGTCAAGCCGTTCAATGTGGACTAAAAATTAAATTAGTTGAATATAATAACGGTATCCAACATTAAATTAAGTGGAAACTGATATCAAAAGCGTTACTTTGTAGGTACGGGAGAACAAGACGGGGAAACTGGCGGATAAACCGAGAACAAAAGACACTCTAGTCTGTACGCAAACTTTTAGTTCGATTAACATGATAACATAATGCGAATTTTGGTAAACAACGCAGAAGCTTTGTTTGTTTCTCTGGGTATTCGCCGTTGAGAACTAAATGTAAATGTTGCTTCATACGTTGTTAACCTCAGTAATAAATTAAGTTGAGTAGTCAGCTTCACGTTCCAGTCGCTTGGACAATAAACCCAAGTATATTTCTGTAAATAATCAAATTTGTTATCTGTCAACAGTTTCCTATATCAATAACTACCTTTCAACTTTTAAACCAATTAAATTATTTTTAAATTAATAGCACGAACGATATTCAACTAAACGATACACTAGTCTTATGCTACTTAATTGTTTGTTGTCATTAACGAGAAAATTATTGGCTTAAAATAACACGAAAATGAAAAGTAGTACTTTAAAAATAATTTTATTGAAAAGTCTAACAAAGCTGAATTGAAATCATCACTAATATTTACTAAATTAAATAATATAATATTTAATGTAGTGAAATCTCAAATATTCTTTTGTTTCGATCGAGGTTATGTCACTAACTAACCAAACCTTTTGTGGTAAAAATGGCGGCTTCCGGGCCACATCTTGTCCGAGACAACTTGCAATTAGACTGTTATTTTGTTTTATTTATTCTGAATGGTCTGTAAAAATTTGTGATTCTCATCTCTTATGTTTCTTTACGTACAAGTGATGAACATGACACCTGACTTCAAAATCCTACCGTGAAATGTAAACTTTTCCAGGTAAAAACTGTGTAACATACACGGCGTTACAGATGCAAATTTCAAATAATATGTAGCACAGGAGTAATCTGTGTACATTTCAATAAAAATTTACATTTGCGCACATACTACGTTCATTTGTCATTAACAGTGCACAGGGAATAGGAATATTATATTTGGCAAGAAGCCAGACATTAAACACTAAAAGATACGTAAATCTTGATAAAGAACAAATTACAAGCTTGGCAAAGACGCGAAACTTTGAAGTTTATATTTAACGCAGACATAAGTTATAAGTTATTCCTTTTTCGATTGATTTATATGTATATTTGTTTCGGAAAAAAATGCCAATGTACCACGACAATGAACACATAAACATCCTATTCCTTTGTGTCATTATTCCAGAGCTGCCAACTTCTGAGCATGTTAGTTCAACTAGTTCATTATGCAGATTAATGTTTGTGTCCTACAGTTTACACCTGAAGTGACTGTAATAAACATAATCATAACAGACAGCAAAGGCATGTTATTCTGGCAGACTACGTGTTTAAACTACCACGAATTATTACATCATTTCGGCCTTGTTGTGTACAGCCAACACTGACGTGATGATTCACTGGTTGGGTGTGACGACAGAGAGCTTCAAGCTAACCATACACACGCCACATACATGTTTAACCACGTAATATGTTAATCCTAAATTAAAATCGTGTACTGTGCTGTACTATTTAGTTTTCAAGTAATACACTTCGGCTTTATAATTCTCTTTAGATCTGTGATAATGGTTGAGGCAATCATGTCAGGGCAGTGTGTAGGCAAGAATCGAATTTAGTTGATTCAGTGTATAGATCTACAACACTAACCTGGTATAAACGAATTTTTCAACGTGTTGGCTCTGCAGGGTTCTTTGCTGTTTGTAAGACAGTACACTAACATAATGGTCACTACACCAGTAAGAAATAAGTTTGATTCACGTGTTACTTCTGAACACACCTGTACCTAAACCTGGAACCGAGGACAAAGATGTCTGGGGCAGTCGGTGACACTTGAACTAATCGGAAGAATGCGTGATGCTCCACACAGCACTTCCACAAATGTTTGCACGCGGACTTGGAAGGCGTCTCGAAGCCGTATGTGTTCTCGTCGTTCTAGAAGACAAAACAAAACAATTAATACACCTCAGATGTCACACAGGACACAGTAGTCACCATTCGTGTTCAGTGCTGCGCTCTACAACGCCACGCCGGATTCGGCACGGCCAGGTAAAGACTCGGAACGGCCTGGTGAAGTGGCAGTTGTTTCAAAACACTGATTGTTGTAAACGGACCATTCTAATTATATCTAGATCGTTTTTATTATGAACAAATCTGCTGTAATTTCCTCTGAGCATGTCACCTTCCATTATTACCTGTACGTCTGAAGCTAAATCTTGATACGACGCACTGTAAAGCAAGTTTAAAAATTTTGAAATATAACTAATGCCTCCTACATTTCAGGCACAATAACTGTTTCAGACAATTACAATTAGATGCACCTATTGGGCTTCTGAAGTGAACACGTTTCGGAAACTGGGATTACTTCCGATCATCACGTGAAAAGGTGGAGTAACGTATTCATTTGGTTGCATGAAAAGACCTAATGTCAATCGCTGGATTGGTCCATACGTTTCAAAGAGCTAACCTCAATCACTCAATAGATCCACTGATTGATATCAGCGCATTCTGTTGGCGCAACTATGAAACTACTGCCTACTTCTCCACCAGAGGATAGAAACAGATCCAGTTTCCAAAACGTTACGTTCTCTACGGAATACCAACACAAATCCATAAATCCAGCCAAACTACAATTTGAAATTAAAATCTATGAAAATGAATAGTACATTCCCGTCAAAAAATATCACCATAAATAAACATTATACACAAAGCTTACATACAAAATGGTGTACTTAGTAGGGCCGGCGCATGGATATTTAGTACGCTAGGCAACCTTCAGCATTATTGTATAATATTTTACGAATTTTTTTTTTCTTAACTACTCATTTTATATTTATATGTGTTTCGTATAATTCTCACTGTAAACAGCGATTATTCCCTTAAACAGCGTTAACCAGTTAATCTTCGTAATGGTGAAGAGTTGTGTTTTCTTCGCGGTACGGACTGAATTCTTAAATATTATTTAGACGAGCTCAGGCTTCAAATAATTCAATACAATTCAATTAATTTATTTAAATGTTTGCCAACATCAAGAAGCCAACAACAGATTAATATTAGATTAACAATTTAGAAGGCATGGAGTGTGTTAAATGTGGACATCGAAATACAAGCGCGCACTAAAAGGAAAACGTCTTGTGGTCTGTTGCGTCGTGAAATCTGATATAAGTTTACCGACGTTTCAGAGGCACTTGTTCCGAAACGTCGGTAAACTTCTACATGAAACATAAAAATCAGAGCGCACGCACGTAAACTCACACACACGCAGGGAGGTTTAAGGAGTGAACTGCATTACAGTCAAAAATATTGCTGTTATGAAATATTACTTCAGATCAAAATTATGGTCTAAAAGATTCATCACACGTGTGTGTATTCTGTATCACAAGAAGTCTCTGGGGAAATTTTAAAACCTGGTTTCAGAGGAAACGATGTCTTAGAACTAAATCAACATGACGGGTCTGAAGTCTTTTACACGACGTCAGAAATCACGAACACAGTGGAGTGGGCACTAGATGGAGGAGAGGTGGTCAGCATCACGCCTCGGCCGATTTATCTATGGGAAAAGTGATCTGTACCCAATGTTAGTCTAACAGTTAATATTAAGAGATATTAAAACAGAAAAAATTAATTTATAATTACAATTATATAATTGAGGGCTACTATTATTGCCTAGAACAAAATACCACACTTCGATTTTCGAAAACTCCGTAAGCTTTTAAAAAAAACGAGGGGCAAGGCTTGCGAGTTAACCGTGTCAGCCCGGCTAACACGCTGAAAAACTAAACCAAAAATTATCGTGTCTTATTTACGTGGTTCAGTGGTACTCCATACACTGAAACAGATAAAATACATCGAAGTGTTAGCCGGGCTAACACGGTTAACATGAACGTTTCGCCCCTGAAAAAAAACACATCAGTTACCCACTAATATTTAATACACTGCACTAAGCAGGCAGTCAGGCACAGTGCGTCCATATTGTTAATAATTTATTTCATAATAATGTAATTAATTAGACGCTTGTTCAGGAAGACGAATGGATACAACGCCGAAATAATGGAGTTAAATTCCGTGTAGAGGCTTAGAGATTATTAGGCTCAGAACTGCTTTCAGGACCCCCCACGACCAATCCCATAGGTCCTTACGTCCTTATTGCTCAGTATTATAACCCCGAAGCACCTTTAACTGCATGAGGGATAAACCAGGTACGAATTGTCTTCATCGTCATGGCAAGGCAAAGTTCCATACTCATAAATGTGATATCTGTATAGAGAACATATTCGTTCCACTACACATTTTAATTAACTCATTAATTACGCTGAGACAGTCGGTACTGCTTAAAAATAGTACTCGACCGACAGCACACTATTAATAAGACGCGATTGTACTGGTCCAGTTAATTTCATGTTAAGGGACAGGAAGTTTTCGACAGGTTAATTCCATGACACAGCGGGGGGGTCTTTTGTCAAAATGAAGTCTGTTCCAAACGATTAATTAATTGGTTTGCAAAACTTGTCGCCTCTCCGATCAATTAACGACTGACCCCCGTGGTAACAGGTAGATTAAAACCAGTTAAAGGATACGAACCGAAGGGCTACTGAAATAAATGCAGAGAGGATTACTGCCAAACAGTTCAAATATGTTTTGCATTCGACATCCTTTTCAATTAGCAGATCACTCTCTGTCAGTCAGTTCATGGACAGCCTGTCTACGTGATTCAGCATCAACCAATTGCAGGGACTGTTAGAAGACAGAAATCTTCATACTCATCGCCCTGATGATGGAGGCAGTATGGCCTCTGAAACGTTGGTTAACATCGACCAGTCTACACAGCGCAACAACCCAGAAGACAGAAATCTTCATACTCATCGCCCTGATGATGGAGGCAGTATGGCCTCTGAAACGTTGGTTAACATCGACCAGTCTACACAGCGCAACAACCCAGAAGACAGAAATCTTCATACTCATCGCCCTGATGATGGAGGCAGTATGGCCTCTGAAACGTTGGTTAACATCGACCAGTCTACACAGCGCAACAACCCAGCAGACAGAAATCTTCATCCACCTGATGATGGAGACAGCAATGACCTCCGAAACGTCGGTAAACCTCTACCAGACTACACGGCGCTACACGCCAGATGATTTCACACTCGTTGCCACGAAAACGTCGATCTCGTCATTACTAACATCAAGAAACGTCTCAAGACATGATTCATGCCAACTTATTTTAATCTCGAACTCAGTGTCCCACCGTCACGCCACGATACATCTTCCTTGTAAGACTAAGAATACGACGAGAGATAATATTAAGACTGATATTACAGAACACGTTAGAAAGACGTGAACTGACATGAACCTGCTCTGGATAACGTAAGATGACGGGGGTTTGATATTAGCCGCGTTGACTCCGGGTTTCATTAAACAGTCTGCTCTGTTTAATTACCAAATTGCCTACTTGCTATCAACGAGGTACAGATATTAAACAGACGAGGAATAATTCTTTCACACGTAATCAAACATTACTATCACTTTCATATTATTAAAATATTTAATTTTAAACTCGTTGTCATTTCACATAAGTGACGATTTCCTGTCGGTAATGACATCTGTAGTGCTAATGTGAAACCAAGTCTCAATACAAAGACGATTCGTGTATTTGACACAGGCAACTGCAGAACTTATAAAAAATGTCGGTTGAGGTGGGACCATTATCATCGCTTGGAGAGACTGAAGAAAAACAAGTAAAACGTTTTATAACAAATGGTATCACGACAGTATAGCCACGGTGGTCTAGCGGTTAGAACGCTGGCCTTGTAATCCTGGGGGTTTCGGGTTCGATTCCCGGCGGTGCCCGAATTTATAACTTGTGTTGGGCAAGGCCGTGGTCTAGGCAACACGGAGTTTTCCTCCGTGGCATCCCAACAATTACTCCATGCACACACAGAAGAAGGCAATGGCAAACCACTGCTGGATCATCTGCCAAGAACGTATATGAACAAGTCCCAGTCCGAGAAAAGGATGGAAGGATCCTGGTCATATGGACCTGTCGTCAGACAGAACACAAAATAA